GATCAGTTTGTTTGGGACATTCCCTACTCTCTACTTGGCAACACAAATAAGACTAGTTAGATTTTTTTTAAGAGGGAAGATTTCCAGGTTTGATTCCATTTTGTGCCTTTCACTTTTCATTCTCTTTGAAGTTGGACTCCTTGTACAGGACATTTATTTACAAGTTTATTCATGAAATAATATTTGATAATTTAGTTCAATAAAGTTACCATATTAATACAAACAGTGCATAACTTAAGGAATTTAAAATGGCAAGAGAATAAGTGTATTATCATAGGTAGTAGCAACAATAGCTATGTTACACTGGCAAGCTATCCAGATTTGACTATAGCTTCGACTATACTATTTTCCAACTAAATGATAATTGAACACTATGACACCTTCACTTCTATTTCTTAATCGTGGCAATGTAATACAAAGAGCTCTTTTGGGGAAAGATAGAGAAAGCAACAACATACAGGTTATTAAACAATAAGGATATTGCAAAACTAGCTTGATTACCTTCATCAGGAAAAAGTTTATATTCCTACTAAAAGTTTATGGAAATGACTATTTCTTACAAATTATTTATTTATTTGGAAAGTCTCTTAACAAAACTTTGCTGGAAAAAAGATGACTTCAGATATAAGTTGAGGCATAAATCATCATTTTGATTCTTTTGAGTTCAATTTAATAAACACTATTAATATGGTAGCATTATGCTACTAGATTATCAAATGACATTTCACAAGGAAGCTTATTTCTGTGGGAAGATACACTTTTCATGTTCCAATGTACAAAAAGATAATTATTCTTCCCCTTCCTAAAAGTCACATAAGCCCTAAGGGAAGAACAGCTCAAAATAAAGTGATCAAACTAGCACAGATCAAGCTGCTTGGCTAAGGTCAGAGAAGTAGAAGACCACACTCAAGAATTCTGTGTAGATCAGTTGTTTGTTCTCTGAATTACCCTGTTTCTGGATAGAAAGAAGAAAAAAAATTGCATAAGTGTACTTAAACTTTAAATTTCACAGAATATGTCTCCACACCATCTCATTTATCAGTTATAGCAAGAACTAGCTTTATTTTCCAGATTAGGAATGAAGATCAAGAAGATTAAGTGACTTAATCAAGTTCACAGAAGAAATATGTACTAGAACTAGAAAAAGAATTTGAGGGTTTTTTATTCTCTATGTAGAGGATTCTTGCCTGTTCCTCATGCTGCTTTAATTTATACTGAAGACTTGAAGCATAGGTCTCCTCTCCATTTCAACATGAAGGGCAAAGTACAATTGATACCCAGTAATCCCATTTATACTTTTTTATCCCCTGAATTTTCATTTTACTTTGGTTGGAAATGTAAACATCATTTTATTGATTGATTTGTTCAATAAGCATTCATTAAGCTCTGGCCATGTACCCAGTTCATGAGTCAGAATAGAGGTTACATAAAAGTTTCAGTCACAGCATAAGCCTATACATTTAATCAACATGAGTAACAAACATATACCAAGATTTCCTCTCTTCTTTTTCCCATTCAAATATTATGAATCTTTTGTCACTTTTTGACTTTGAATGGATCAATTATCTAATTTGTGAATTTAATTTAAATCTCAATAGTCTGAACATTGTTTGGCATTTGATTTTAGCATAAACTGTGAGACTGCCAGTGAATTTTAATACAGATTTAAGCAGAACATGATTAGTATGATTATGTTTGCTAAACAGAAATAACAACAGCATTACCATAACTATTATTCAACTCCATTTCAAAATAAAAAAGATGAAGTCTAGAACTGTTCAAGTTTATTCAGGAAGCAAGCTATAAAGCCAGGATTTGAAGAAAGATCTTTTCATTAGGCTAGATTATCATTTGTCAGTGATTGCTTTATCCAGAGAACAGAAAAAGCAGCAGAATATGGAAAATCTATAATCTAAAATATGAGCAGTTACTCTTGAAAAAATAGTCTTTTTTAAATTCAAGGGATGTCTATAATCTATTTCATCTTCAAGAATACATCAATATTTCAAATATACATCAATTCTGCAAGATCTAGTCCACAGACATTTTTTCCAAATCAAGTACATAAATTTTCTTTCTCCTAGAGTTTAAAAGTTTATAGATGTATATATAAGTATGTGTGTGTGTGTGTGCATATGTAACATACACATATCGCTTGTCATTAATAAGGATTTTTATAATTAATAAAAATATTTTAGCAGAGCATTATTTTTCTTCAAAGTACTCCCAAAGCATAAGAAAGGAATATATACCATTTTGACTTAGAGATTAATAAATGAGAACACTGGAAAGCAATGTAGTTTTTCTAGTAGGCTAGCATGTTATTGTTAATACTGTTAGAACATATTAGTATGAGGAAGATTTAATTTTTATCACCTATGAGACTAAACATCAATTTTTAAATTAATTTGTAAGCTTTAAAACATAGGCTATACATGACTTGCTCGTCATTCTACTTACAGTGCTTAGTATAGTGTTTGTATATAGCAATCTTTCCCCCAATTTTTTTTTTTGGGGGGCAAGCGTCAAAGCATGGAATTTATTAAAGCGAGTGAGAAGAAACAGGAGCTCTCACCAGGCAAGCAGGGTCCCAATAGAGGGTTGCCCCTAAAATATTTTTGAAAAAGTGATTGTTTTATTCTTAATAAGTGTCTACAGGAGCTCATTTTGTTTTGGCTATTTTTTAAATAGGGACCCACAGTTTTAGCTAGGGCCAATTTCAGACTGCGTTCCATGTGCTTATGCCTCCCAGGATTATAGATGTGTGCCACCATGTTCAGCTTGAGATGGGATCTTGCTAACTTTTGCCTGGCCAGGCTTCAAACAGTGATTTTCCTGAACTCCAACTCCCCAGTAGCTGAGATTATAGGCACAAATCAACATGTCCCCCACACATAAAAGTTACTAAATTGTTTTAATAAAATGGAAATGTATTTTCTTTTTCCAAAAAAATCATATCATCAATAAAGTTGAATTATTTTGGACTGACACTGAAGACAGAAAAATGGACTCATAGAGAACTCAGTATTTTAAAGGTACTTACTAAAATGGGGTTTTACTTACTCATATGTGAACATTCTCATATTTGCTGTATCATTGTCATAGCCCTAATGTGTTTTCACATCACAATCATGCTGAAAATATTTCAATTGCTCCTGTGGTACATCTTCATATAATTTCTAATGTCACATTGTTACTTCTCTAAAACTATAGATTAGGATCCAGAGATAGAAAAGTTAATTTCTTAAAGGCAGATTCCCAATGATGTTCAAATTCATGACTTTCCCATTTTCATTAATCAGGCTGTAATTCTGGGTAAAGTGCTGAACCTCCTTAGCCTTAGTTTAATCAGTTATTAGACCAATTTTTTTTTCAACTGGACAGTCTCTAAGGTACTTGGTAGATTCAAGTCTTCATTTTCAGTACCAGAAAAGTTTGGATTTTTCTTATGAATGAACAATTTAATTTCTCACTGCTTTCTCTTTCTTTTTTTTTTTTTTTTTGTGGTACTGGGGCTTGAACTTAGGGCTTTCACCTTGAGCTACTCCACCAGCCCTATTTTTGTGAAGGGTTTTTCGAGATAAGAGTCTCACGAACTATTTGGCCAGGCTGGCTTCAAACCTGAATCCTGATTAGCTAGGATTACAGGCATTAGCTACTGGCGCCTGGCACTGCTTTTTTTTCTAATACGAGAAACAGAAACAATACACATCATTACTTAAAGAATGACAGAAGAATAACGTGGAATTGTGTTAGTGAGCATGGAGTGGGAAGAAAAAAAGATTCATAAGATAAGGGTGAATTTAATGTCAGCAAGCTAGTGTAAACTCCTTTTGGGGGAAATACCATGAAATACTTTATCTTCACATAACCCACAAGGATTCTCCTGTAACTTGCCTTAAGGAATCTCAATGTAAAGTTAGAAAAGTCTTGTAATATGCAGCTTAAAAAGTAAGAGACTTAGCCGACTCTTTATATTTTATTATCCTAAGCAGAACATACTATTATTTGTTATACCATAAAACAACTGCTATATGATACGTTAATAATATGAATAAATTTATAAAGAAGCTTATTACTTCAGCTATGGATAATGCTATGATACATGCAACCAGTATCAGGTGCTTTTGAAATGCCACACAAATATTCCTTATTTTATTTAACAACCTAGGTAACTTCATAGGAATCATTGAAAAGAAATATTAGTGCAGTTTTTGGTAAATAAAAAATGATACAGTATTTCAGGTGGTTTAATAAGATGGATACTATGCCACTGGAATTCTGTTAAAGAACTGCAGGGGCTGTATTTTTACCTTGGAAAACTTTCATCATGGAATACAGCTGTGAAACAACTTTGGCTTCAAATGGAAAGGCTATAATAAAGCGCCTCCTAGCTAGAGTCAGGTTCAAGAGGTTTATGATGGTGAGCAGCAGAAAAGATGAAATGCTTCAATAAGTCCCTTAGGCTGATTTAGTTAGCATTCACAAAGTGGAATAACCTACACATCACATACCCTTTGTAAGTTAACAAAGAATAGATGTGTGACTCACTGGATTTTATTTTAGCAGTTGGGCAGTGAAATTCTCCTTTTGCTCAAAATATTAAAATGTAGAAATGTGAAACCAAGAGAGGTAGTGTCAAATCTTATACAGGATGCTTATCAACCACTATGATGAATCAAGAAATTCTTTTGCTCTTATATTATTCCATGTTTCACCTTGGTAGGCACAAATGATAAACTACCTATGTACAAATTCTATTATTATACTAATCAACAAACTATGGTACAAAATTTTTAAAATTTGTCTGTAGGGAAGAGGTGTTAGAGGGGGAAAGCCTGCAAAACCAAAAGAAATCTGACATTAGAGGATAGAAAGACTCTATTTTGCATGATTTCAAGTACAAATGAATCCTTCTGGGAGTCATGGGAAAAATATACATGTCTTGTTCTCCCGCCCCCCCTTCTTCCTCTCAAATACTTCAGAATTAATGAAGATACCTGCAACAATGCTGGCAAGCTGTTGGGTTCTGGTGATAGGGTATATGCTGCGTGCTTGAATGATTGCTGAAGCGATTTTCTTGGCATGTTTCTCCTCCCCGTATGTTCTTAGGATGGATGCAAGTGCCTGCTGATCTAAAGCATTCACAACATCAGCAGCCGTGGGCATGTCGGGATACCTACAAGAAGGGTTAATTAATTCATGACGTCAGTTTTCATTGACAGTTAAAACTTCAGAGCACTGAGATGTAAAAGTCAGGCACACAAAACACATAGCCTAGGAGAGATTGTGAGGTTGTAAAGGCAGAGAGTGAAGTCTTACACAAGTGAAACATGTTTTATATTTTATATACTCATGGCTATGGCAAGAGAAGACTTTTCACAACATTCATCAAGGTCAAGGCAGGAGGAAGTTAAAATATTTTACTAACCTTTAATCTGAGTTCACAGAGAAGTTATTGCTCCTGTATATTTCCCTCAAACTAAAATAATGGAAAAAAGTTTGTACTTAAGTTGATCAAAATTTAAGTTACTGCTTGAATTTTTTTAAGCATAGGTGATACTAGGTTTGCCGATGATATTTGAATGAGCTCAGATCTCAGGAACTTAATTAAATCTGTGGTAGTAAAGTAACTAACTACTTATAGGGATGTAAATTGGACTTTGCAAGTCTACACAAGATATACGAGATATTGCTGGTCAGTTTTCCCTCACAAAAACTAGAACAACATTAAAGGCAATAATGCATATTTTTTCAAATGTTTAACAATATTAGTTCAATCATCCATGACAAAGTCATCATAGATCAAAACCTAGAAATAAACAAACAGTAATGAACAAACCTAAATAGTAATTTAAGTTAGCGGATATAAAAGAAATCCAACTTCTGGCCATATAGAATAAATTATAGTGGCAGGAAATGGCATTCACTCCATCAGATTATTCTAGCTTATTTTAGAAAAATGGGCCTATGTTCTAACTGATAAGTGAACCATGACTTTATTTATTAAAAAGATAGATTTACTACTAGTACAGTTACTATTCTTAAGTTAATATGTTGGAATACTTGTTAGTATCATACTATAGTAGCTGTAAGTTACAAAGATATGGTAGCTTTAAGATCAAAGGATCAAATCAGAGTGCAGTTAAGAAAAAACACCAGAAATCCTCTTTGAAAACATGACACTATACTTTGTTAACATGCTAGTGCTATCAGGAAAAAAATCTTGTCCTTAGCATGTCCCCACGTTGCACATCCTTAATCGCTTTCTCTTTTTCCAGATTCCATGATTAATTTTTGTCTGATTGCCATGGCACATGCAGACCACTCAATGTTTCATCAGGTAGCCCTAATATTCACCTCAATGGGGTTTGCTTCTTTGGCTTTCAAGACGAAGATCTGGTCTTTAGGGTCAGATTGAATGACTAGAATTCTTCCCTTGCTACTCATATTGGGAAAGTTTTTAAACCTATCTGATCATCAAGTTTAAACTGTGAAGGAAAAGTAACAATGATTACCTTACAGAATTGTTTATAATTGTAGTTACAGACAGTATAAAGCCTGGCACATAGAACATGTTCAGTAAGTGCCAACATCCTTTAGATCTTCCCCATTCATATGTTTACCAGTCACCATTTTTTGGCTTAAATGACAAAATCCCTGCTAGACCATACCTACCTGTGAAATCAATTGTCCAAACCACTGAGCATTGGAGTAGACCTTGCTAATGATGATAAATTTAGACTCCAGGAAATATAGTGTATCTCTATGAAGACAATTGTAAGATAACGTGGTTATGCTTAGCAGTTTTTCATACCTTTCTACTTTTATTTTGGTAAATTTTTTTTTTTTGGAAAGGGGTACTAGGGTTTGAACTCAAGTCTCAAGTGTGAAGCTTGCTAGCTAGTCACTCTACCTCTTGAGCCACACCACCAGCCATACCTTTCTACTTATAAATAAGAAAATTAAAACAGTGTTTTGATCAAGTGGAGTTCAGTGGATGCTAAATAGTAGTGGAGAAGTATCCAAAGTGTTACACTGCAAAAGGGGTGTTACTCTAGAGGACTGATGGGTTACCAGGCAGCTTTGGAATAGGCATTCACATGGTGAAGAAGTCAAGACCCAGATTTGTTCCCCATGCTTAACAGGTTTGATCTTGCCAGTACTATACATTTTACTGGATTTACTAAACTCATGAAGAAAGAAAACATTAAGTTCCAATTTATTACACACTAGTAAAGAATATGACTGACAACAGAATTAGACTTTAAAGTCCTTAAAGCTGAGAATTTCTTTTTGCTACATGAGAAGCCTTATTATGATCTAAAAGCTGTTGTTGAAATTGGGATCAGCATAGAATAAATTACTTTTTAAGACTCCAGTGTTAAATGACTTTTCTGTCAATCTTCATTACAGGGACATATCATTCTCCAGAATTAGACAAACCATATTTTTGTCCTGGAATCTCTCTCCATTATCACTTGGATTAGCATTGAACATACTTGTATCTTTGAATTTCCTTTTTCTATAAATTTGAGTGAATTAATTCTCCCTGTCTGAATGCCACATATAGGTTACTAGAAGCCATTCAACTTTTTAAGATAAATTTGCTTAACTCTAATCTCATCCACTAGGTATTGACTTAAGAGTTTAATTCTCAGGAGCAATCTTATTTTCAAGGTCTCAGAGGAGAACCTCAGGAACCCTGAGTCACAGACTAAAACATGCTGGTAAGTCTTTATATTAACAATACAGGTATTTACTACTTTTAACTAAAAGCTTTGTTCATTGTGTTTCAGAAGGCATCTTCCTTAGCTAGATAGAGGAGAAGCAGAAATTTGACATTTTATTATTTCTGTATAATACCTCAATCTTTGAACCTGAGAATATATTTGACCTTTACTATTAGTCACTGGTGTTTAAAGGATTTTTATTTTCTTTTATAATGACATTCTTTGGTCTATGAATGCTAACGACATGTAGAGAAGAAGGTATAAGACTCAGAAACAAAAGATTATAATAAATATAGGTCACAATCCAAATTAACAAGTAATATCAGAACATGGGGAAAAGGCTATATGTGAATAATTACCACAGGACAAAGTAACAGGGCATGATTTGAACAAGAAAAGCATGATTAAGTTTGGTACATACAGCTTGTTCAGGCCCTGGGCCAATACAGAACCCAGATGCAGGGGTTAATTCAAGTAAAAAGGAATTTTTCCTATACTCTACTAGCATACGAACTGCTTTATAATATTAAACATATATGCACCTATTTGAACAATGGAGAACAAACACTATTATTTCCATAGTGGTGAGGAATGAAGTATAGAAGATGTCTTCGGCAGACCAGAGGTGTGGCTCAAGCAGTAGAGTGCTGCTTTTGCAAACATAAAAGTCCTGAGTTCAAACCCCAGTTCCACCAAAACAAACGAAACAAACAAACAAAAAGATGTCCTATGCACAGCACTGTGTTTGATGCAATGCAATAAATTCCAGTTTCTTTGAAGAAGTATCAAAGTGACTGTACAAGAGACAGGATAAGACACACAATTGCTGACCTCTAGGATCTTGCCTTTTTTTGGAGTATTATAAAGTAATATGCATTAAACATAGTTACCTTTGCTTCTGACAAAAGGCAGAGTTAGACATGCATAAAACGAAACCATGTTTTAGATTCATGGTATTTATTCATATTGTTAGTAGTCTAAAAGCCTATATTGTATCAGTGAAAAAAGATAATCAGCTGAAAGTTATCCTCCACACTGATTTGTGTAAAGACACTAATTAGCTTTCATTTAGAATTCCAAAACCAGAGAAACTTACTAAAGTCTATACTGAAGAGCAAACAAAAATAATTTATTGTGTATGGGTAGAGTTAGTGTGGGTGTGTGATGGGAATTCTGCAGTTGTAAAAGGAAATTAAATTCAGAACATTTTTGAGAAATTGGTTTTTTTGTTGTTAGGAGAATGCTTTACCAATACTCACCTGCCACAATCCATCCTCATGTCCAAGGGGCCATCTTTCCGGAGGGAAAATCCTCTTTCAGGAGCATCAAGTTGCATGGAGGAACACCCAAGATCCAAGAAAACTCCATCGAAAGTCTCTGGCTGCACTCCAGCTTTCATTAATAAGTCTTCTGCCTGGCTAAACTGGCCTAGCATAGCTCGGATCTGTTTACTGTGAATAAACCCAGGAGATGAAGAACACTTTGGTTATAGTAAAGTCTTTCTTAAAGTCTGTCATCAATAGAATGGAGCATATCATATTATTAGGTGATGTACCCAATATAAATTTACTGACTGCCAACTATATGGTCAGCACTGAATAAAGGCGAATGGACAGAAACTTACATCTTTGGTTTCAAACACTACAGCTGATTTAATGCAATTTTATTCTTAGAACTAAACATACTTTGTCATATACTTTTAAGAAGGTATGTAACACATTTATAAATCAGAAAAATTCCTTTGTCAGATCAAGTTTTCATTGCTTTGCTTAAAAATTTTTTTTTTTTTTTTGTGATAACTGGGGTTTGAACTTAGGGTCTCATGCTTTCTAGGCAGGCGCTCTAACACTTGAGATACTCTGCCAGGCCTTTTTTGTATTGGGTAATTTAGAGATAGGGTCTCTCAAACTATTTGCCCAGGCTGGCCTTGAACCACAATCCTTCTGATTTTTGCCTTTCAAGTAGCTAGGATTGCAGGCATGAGCCACTACTGGTGCCTGGCTTCTTTCTTTAAAAAATTCTTAAATCTATGGGTGAGAAAAAGAAGCACATAGCACTCTACCAAAATAATTATTTAGTGATTAAGCTAATTTAAATATGACAAATAAAAGAAATAATCTAAAGAAAAGGTGGCATCTATATACAATGAAATATTATCCGTCATAAAAAGAATGAAATTCTATCAGTTGTGATAATCTGCATGGAACAGGAAATCATGTAAAGTGAAGAAAGCCAGGTACAGGAAGACAAGTACTGCATGATCTCATTCGTATCTGGAATTTTAAAATTTCATCTCAGAGCAGTTGAGAGTAGAATGGTGGTTACCAGCAGTGAGGGTGAGTTGATGGGGAAAATAGGCAAAGGTTGATCTAAATTACAGTTAGACAGGAGCCAGAAGTTCTGGACTGCTATAGCACAGTATAGTGACTACAGATGTCAATTACATGCTTTATATTTCAAAAAGCTAGAAGAAAGGATTTGAATGTTTTCACCATAAAGAAATGACAAATGTTTAAACATTACACAATGTATATATGTATTGAAAAATTGTGTTAATCCTATTAATATTAACATTTTTATGTACCAGTTAAAAATAAGTTTATATAAAAACCAGAAGTTACAGGAAACGATATATCAAATATATTCATTCCAACCATTTTAACTTTCTCCATATTTTTCCAATAATTAGGATAGGGATGCTATGCAGGTACAGAAATGAGGAATGACACTATCAGTAAAACAAATGACTTCTTGAAGAAACAATGTTTTAGCTCTCAGCAGAAATTTTGAAGGGAGCATTCAGAATCGATAGACAGACAAGGAGTTAGGATCAGCTTGTAGTTATACTAATTCTGTCCACACAAAGCTAGGTGCTGCCTTTAGGGTTCTCCAGAAGCCTTAGCGCAATGGCATTCATTTTGGCAGGTGAATGAAAAAAATAAGTTGGGCAACACACTCAAGCAATCATTCTATTGTCTAAAGGTTAATGGAGTTTCTATTTCAACAGTATTGGACAATTCACATTTAAGATTTCATTTATGTGTGATGCTGTTTACAGGAACACTTTACAGCTCAAATTCTGATGGAGAAACTAATTTTCAGACTCACTCACCAAATATTTATTGAATATCTGCTGTGTATCCACTATTATGTTATTTGGAGGATATATAAGGGTATATGAAGATTAATAAAGCCTGGCTTTTTAAGCTTTGAGCTGAGAGGGAAAAGATACATCAGTAAAATACACTAGTAAATAGTTTTGCAAAAATCTGATGGGAGCTAATGAAAGAGTGAACACGCTGCCCTATTTGGGGAAAAAATGAATGCTAATACTAGCACTGGAAACCTAGAAATAATTAAATCTTGGGATTTTGAAGGTAATTCATAAGTCATTTATGCCAGTAACTGATATTTGAATCTTTCCCCAACCAAACATCAGTCCTGGGGGCTAGGTAAAGGGAAGAGAAACATTGTTTTAATCACTTCCTTTTCATCTATTGGAGAGGTGGGGATTGCCACTTTAAGGCTAGGGAGATGGCCAAACCTATAATACCTAACGATGGAGAGATGAGACCGAAAGGAGTTTATTAGTTAGATATACTCACAACCTAGACGAGGAAACAAAGTGCCATTCTGAGTCATACAGGGAACAGTGTGGACAACAACTCTATGGGAAGCAGGCTTTTTAGTCCTAAGAGATTGGAGCGCTTCCTGGTTCTCACAGGGAGATGGTATATGATTGGTGTATTTAACAGTTCCACAAGGTGGCATGGAATTAGACCTGCCAATTAAGGATAAACAGAAATAGTGTCTGATCCCCATGAAAAGAAGGGTTGTGGCTAGGGAATATCTGCAAGAATGCAGTTGCAGTAGAGAGGGGAACTTGTGACTAGGTCATTTGAGAAAAAAATTATTCACACATATGTGTAAACATACATATTCTACTTGTTCTGATTCTCTGGAGAATGTTGACAGGTATCATATTTGAGCTAAGAGTAAAATAAAATTATGCCTATTATTCATTGAAATCCATTTGAGCAAAGTATTGTTTTACCTAGATGTCAAGGACACCTAAAACTGTGGTCTTAACCCACAGTCATTTATTTCATGTTTGAAATTTTCCAGTAATAAGAATTCACTATTACTGTTGGGGCTGGGGGTATAGTTCATTATTAAATCATTTGCTTAGTATGCTCAGATTCTGGGTTCAATCTCCAACATCACATAAAAGAACCCAAATAATACAAATCAAAAAGCAAAAAACTAAAAAACAAACAAATAAAAACAAAAAGAATTTACTACTGTTTGGTTAGACAACTGTTTTTTAGTTGGTAGCTGTTTCCTCTCTAGCTCTACAATTTTTGTCCTTAGTATTACTCCATATAAAACAAATTTAAAAACCTACACCAACTAGATATATACTAGTTTTTTCCTCTGGGGAATCCAGATAAATATAACATTTCAGTTCAAGAGATAGATTTTTGATTATCTAAGTTACTTTGTCCACATCACCCCCACTAGGGCACTATAATTTGTTTAGAGATTGGCATGTGACACCACTTCAGCCAATGAGATACAGGAGACACTTCCTAGGGATTTGGAGAATGGAAAGACCTCTTTTTTTCACTTAGCTACCATGGGACAAGGTTTTACTGACCCTAATACTTAATAAGAAAGGAGTATATATCCCTGATTATGCTAGCAGGCCAGAAGCTATCTTATCCCAAAGAATGGAGAAGGCTTAGACAGGTTTGACCAACACCTTAGAACACAAGTAGAAAGAAAGAATAACCAGCACAATGGATTGAGCCTCATCTAAAACCCAACTCCCTCTGAACTTTTGAATTATATGAGCCTACAAATTCTCTTTGTTGGGGAAACTAGTTTGAGCTGGCTTTTATACCTGAAAACACCCCTACTATAGCTGTCATGTTCTTCAGGTATTTTCTCTGAACCACATACTTGTTTCTTTCAGCCAGTCTCCACATGAAAGGTCTTTTATAGGCTAGCTGCTATTTTATGAATGTGTTCCAGTTTACCCATGTCCCTCAGTCTGAATTCTATAAAGATCAGCACAGAATAAAATAAATTCCTGCCTTCTTTGTTCTAACTCATTATATTAGTATAGCTCAAGATCAAAATCATTGTAGAATTTATTTTGCATTGTTGCACACTGCCTATAACTCTTCAGTCTTTTTTCATGTGCATTGCTGCTAAGCCTATTTCCTCCACTCTGTATATGGGTAGTTTTATTAATTTCTTTTTACCCAAGTACAACTTCTGCCCTGTGCATTTTCTAGAGCTGTAGGATTTACATATGATATTCAGCTACAGAGACCTTTACACTTCAGCAAGCTTCCAATAAGTCCTCATTGCCCACTCAATACATTAGGAATAATAACTATTATCCTGCTTATGGCTAATTTACTTATTCCATATGTGTCCATCCTATACTCTGGTTTCTCTTCAGATGGTGTAAATCTTTCATCTTTCAAATAAATGTCCATCCTAAATTTTCCTCAAATTTAACTGTTTACTATAAAATATTTACAGTTTCACATAGTAAATAATAAAACTATAAACCTCATGGTATAAAACTAAGTATAATGATGTTGGTATTTCAGAAGATATAAAAAAAAAAAAGCAACTATGATTCAACACCACAAAATAAATCATGTGTGTTATAGTTTTCTGATATTACATCATCTATGTATTTTTTTCTTTTTTTTTGGTGGTACTGCGAGTTGAACTTAGGACCTTACATTCATTAGGCAGGTGCTCTACCACTTGATCCACTCTGATAGCTCTTTGTGCTGGCTTTTTTTGGGCGGGGGGAACTGGGGCTTGAACTCAGGGCTTATACCTTGAGTCACTCCACCAGCCCTTTTTTTGTGATGGGTTTTTTTGAGACATGGTCTTGCCAAGGCTGGCTTTGAACCACAGTTCTGATCTCTGCCTCCTGAGTAGCCAGGATTATAGGTGTGAGCCACTGCCACCTGGCAACTATTTTTGAGATAGTATCTCACTTTATGACCAGGCTGGCTTGGACTACAGTCCATCTATTCATGCTTCCCTGTGTACCTGGGTAACAGGTGTGTGCCACCATGCCTAGCCATTGGTCAAGCTTGGATCTCCTGAGCATTTTTCCCCAGTTCTGACTTTGAACTGCAATCTTTTGTATCTCTACCACCTAGGTAGCTATGATTACAGGCTTGAGCCACAGCACCTGGCCTTCATCAGTTCTAGAATTTGATTTTTCTCAGAGGAAAGGAATCATTCATGAAATTTACTTACCAATCTGATAAAAACTCAGCCCTAGTTTCAGACCCTGGGGCATTATCTCATCTACACAGTTATGTCCATGCTAATTTTCCTCTTCCTCCCTCTCCTCCTCTCCCTATCATTCTTTACTTCTTTTCCTCCTTCTCTATTTTACTTCCTTTTTTCTTTGAAATTTTAATGTGAAATATTTTGAAAAAGTATTTTACAGATGTTATAAAATAAGTAACCGAAAAACCAGCCAGGCAAGATCATTAT